CTTACAGAACAAGATGGTCATCTCTTCCCCCTTCCCACCCCCCGTGCAGAGTGGCCCCTTGATGGCCCAGCATGACATAAACTGGTTCGCATTCAGTTGTAAAGGAAATGTCCAAACTCAAAGGAGTCCCAATGCCCTGCCCAGAAACAGAAAGAGGCAAAGGACGTCACCAATGCCAGCTCCTGAGAGTCAGTTCCTGCAGCTCTCCAGGGTCATTGTCTGGTCCTGGCTCAGTTGGAAATTGGCCAGATAGATAGACAGGCACATCTGTCATGTCAAAAGCCCACCTGAAAATAAAACCCATCATTCTCAAAACTGGGTTCCGCAAAGTAGGATTCTGAATCCATATTTAGAGCCCCCAGTGGCACACTTGAGCAGATGCTTAAAGGTAAGGAGATAAGCAATCATTTAATAAATATCATCTGGGCTTCCTCATGTACTTAAAGATAAGCAATCTCTGCATTTGGCATTGGATATGCCTATGTTTTCCTTAGTACTTATGCAGGTAGAGCCACACATACTCAGCATTTATGAAAACAACTCACTTCTAGGTAAGTGCTGAAATATAGCTTAAAAATAGAGGGGTTGTTTCTTTCCTTCACCCAAGTCAAATGAGTAAAAAGCTACAGAAGGTACGCTGCTTGAATGAAATGTCTCTGGGAGCTAATGCCTGCAGGGAATTGGCATAGAGGAGCCACATTGGAAACCTGCATTCTCTCGCCCTTTGCCAGACAGGAGAGTTCTGGTCTTGGAGGGCAAGGAACCTCTTTCCTCAGCAGAGATGCTCTCTTCATAGAGTGGAAGTCTAATACTCATCTCTGGCTGCTTCCGGTTGACTTTATGTCCATAGGCTTTATGCCCTTAATGATGACCAGTAACATTCTAAAACCCCAGAAAAAAGATCAAAGTACAGTAATAATACAGACATTATGGTTATTCCCTTATTGCTAGTAAAACAGACTACAGAGGTCAGAATTCAAACCTTTCCTTGTCTTTATTTTCTCCGCTTTGCCAGCACACAAAATTCAAAACTGAAACTCAGCTCTTGTGGATAATTAGATATTATCATCTACACTGTGGATCACACTGGTAGATAAAGAACTTTTCCTTTGTCCTATTGTACATGACACATTATCGTTAAAATGGGCAAGGGAATGAAATTGTATCATGACAAGTCAAATGAAGCCAAAATTATCCAAAAATAAGGGTCACTGTATCTTAGCAGACACTATAGACAGAAGGTTACAGTTCATGTTCAACACCATACAAGACACTGGATTTATCTATAATGCTGACAGTGAGTTACTTGGACAAGTGCCAGCGGCAGCATTACAGTAAGAGAGGTGTCAGCTTTAGAAAATTGAACTAAACTGAAAACCTGCTGCTGTTTCTGGCAGATGATCAGAGCAGGGAGAGAAGTCTGATTAACTCTCCTTCCCACAATCTAAACAGGTTCTGTTGTTCCTTCACAGTCCTGGTTGCTGCTAAAAGTGATGGGTGTGTCAAGCTCTGCAGCTCAGTAGCTGCAGCAGTAACCTATGGCAATAATTACCTCCACTGCTTGCCCTGCCTCTGGAGGTGGGTCCAGATATGCCCACATGGAGCATGTTCTGGATCTGCTTGAGGCAGGGAACCAAGGGAGTTGGACACTTCTGCTAAAATAATGTACAACTTGAATGTGAAAGTCGTTTATTCCTTTTTTTTTCACAGTATTTAGAGCTTCGATTTAATAAATATCTGCGTCTCTGTGGGACATTCCTCTTCATTATACAAACGGCAAGTAAACCTCAAATTCGATCTTTGGTCCTTAGTAGCCTTCAGCATTATTTTATCTAATGTAACTGATGATCGTGTTTGAGTAGTTGTTAAGGGTACTACAAAAGTTCAAGAATGGGACTGAAAGTAAAAGACAAAAAAGTTCTTTTAGCTTCATATTTACGAGTTTGAGAGCATATGCTGTTCAGAAGTGCTCTTTATTCCTACATGGGTACTTGAGTAATCTGAGTGCATAGCTTGAAGCACTGCAGTGCTCTATGGCTGCAATCATATGAGGTAGGAATACATCAGCCATGGGATAATAATGTGAAGCGTATGCATTACCTGCACAGTGGTTTTATGCAGATTGCACAACACAAAATCCACAGGTTGCAAATACAGACATGCCCTAAGTCAGGGGTGTCAAAGATACAGCCAGATACAGCCCGTGGAGCCCCATTATCTGGCCCAGGGTGCTGCCCTAGTCCTGGAGTTGATCCACATGCCAAATGTGGCACATGCTGGACCAGACCCACATGCAGGACCTAGGACACATGATGCACATGGTACCCACTCTGGCCAGTTTGGGACTCACACAGCACACAGTGCATGTCCCAATCACACTAGTACATGTACCAAATGCAGTGCCTGCCTCAGCTGGTCCAGGACAAGTGCATGTGGTGCCTGCCCCAGCCAGTCCAGGATCCATGCTGCACACAGTGCCCCCCTTCCAACTGCTCTGGGACAGGTGCTGTGTACAGCATGGGTCCTAGACCAGATGAAGTGGGCACTGCATGCAGTATGTATCCCAAATTGCCTGGAACAAGCATTGCATATTCTGGGTCTGGCATGGAGGGGAGGGGGTGGGAGAGGGAGGGAGTTCATGGCCCTTATCTAGTTCTCAGGGCTGGCCATGCAACATTCATCTGGCCTATGGACCATCCCTATCTCACTCATCTAGCCCAAATGAGTTTGACACCCTACCCTAAATTTCTTGGAACCATTGAATTTGGCAAACATTGGGAAGTTAACTGGCCAGTTGCATCTTGGGCACTGCTTCTCCAAAGAGAGAAACAAGTCCATCAAAAGTAAGGGAGATATGGAAAGCAACATGCTTGAGCTCTGATTATATCTCATCATATAGTAACACTCACAAAAGGTCTGAAGATTCAAAAGGGACAAGTTTTTCATAATCCCTGCTTTCAAAGCAGATAAAAAAAGAAGCTAGTAGGATTCAAGAAATGTATATATTTCTTTGTGCCAAAAACTGTATTTAATTGTCTGGGATCATTCAAATAAGGTTTGTTTTGTTTTACCACCTTACCATTTTGATAGTATTGCAGGTATTGGTGTGTCATTTTTTTGTAATTTTGTTTTCTTTTGTACCAAATAATTTGGAGAAGAACAATTATTTCTTGATCCTTGCTTTAAATTAACCAAAATCTGATAAGGGTTGTGGCAAGGAAGCTTTTTATCATGATGCTTAAAGGCAGTAGGGAGATCTTCACTGGACATGTCTACACATGCATTTACTCCAGCCTAGATTTACTGTACAGTAAAATACTGCACAGTAAGGTTTTTTGGGTAGGTGTCTACACATGCAGGGATTAGGGAGAAGGAACCTTGCCACCACCAGGGGGAGCTAGCTCAGGGGCTTCCTGCTGCTGGGGCACGGACAATATCCCCCTGCCCTGGTAGCAGGGAGCTCTTGGCCCTGGCTCCCCAATCAGGGGCATGGGGCTTGGAAAGAGCTGCAGGGATGGGGCAGGGCCAAGCCCCCTGCCCCTATCTGCCAGTGGGGCAGCTAGCTGCTAACTTACTGTTGCTACCCTACCAGTGGATCGGGGCAGGGGCCTGGGACCTACCCCACCCCTGCAGCTCTTTCCAAGCTCCATGCCTCAATCACCTGATCAGGGCACGCGGCTGGAACCTGTCCCTGACCGGGACAGTTCCCAGCCAGCCCCGGGCTGTGCAGGAAAGTGTGCATATACAGCCTGGAGCTGACTGGGAACTGTTCAGGCTCGGTGGGAAACTGTCCCCATGCAAGGAGCTCCCAGGCCTTGCTCTTTGATTGCAATTGCGATCGCAGAGTAGGGGCTGGGGAGCTTGTTCCCAGCCCCCACTCTGTGATTGTGGAGAGGGGGTTGGTAACAAACTCCCAGCCTGTTTCCAGGCCCAGCTTCCCAATCGCAGAGCTTCCCACTGGTCAATGTGATCAGGGAGTGGGGCCTGAAAGCTCCCTGCTGCTGGGGCAGGGGAACATTGTCCCCACCTGGCCATGCAGGGCAGAGGCTAGGGAGCTTGTTTCCCAGCCTGTTCTGACCACAGCCTGTTCCCCACCAGCTCCATGCTTGTGGAGCTGGGTGCGGAACAAACTCCACAGCTCCTACCAGCAGGGAGCTCCCAGTGCTGGCTTCGCGGCCATGGGGCCGCTGCTGGGAGATGATTATCTTGTAGACCAAACTCTGTGGTCATGGGGCAAGCTCTAAAATTGCATACTTGCTGAATGCCAGGTAAGTGGAGTTTTATTTGCTCCTTTTCCACTTATACATCGGCTAGATGTATAGCAAAAATCAGGACTAATTCAAATGAAGTCAGTGGAGTTAAATCATATAAAGATCAGTGCACACAAGCTCAGAATCAAAACCTCATTGTGAAACTTGTGGAACTGCATATGTCATTGTTGAATTTGATCCATAGACTTCCTTGGAATTTGACTGTAGTTGACTTCAACCTTCATTTCCCCAAATATGGCTCTGTTACACTACAGTCAGTTTCAACATAATAGAGCAAAGGCTACCAAGATTAAAAGACATGATAAGACAATAATTATAGGTGATATCTGACTTGTGAGCCCTATTACGATAAATGAAAATGAAGGGATTCTCTTGGGTGTGTGTCTGGATTACTTTCCTGTAATGAATGAAGATAAAACAATCATCCATGCATTCTTGTCACCCTTCAATGGCTGCAACCCACTGGTCTATAAAACCCAACATTACTATACAATATTGAATATGTAATGATGTGCCTCTAGTTATTGTTAATTTCCATTATGTTTGTGTATTAAGTAGTGCTTGAATCCTATTGAGACTAAGAAAATGGATAGTAAAAGATTTCCTGGCAAAGTGCACATAAACTTTATTGACTTCCTGTCTATTACTGCACAGTGATATGACTGGTGAACAGTTTGGCAAGATGAAGAGGACTTTGATATTTAAGAGCTGCTTTAGTGTTTGGGTTTTTTTAATAATGCACCATGAAGAGTGCACTACTAGTTAGTTCCCTGGTATTTTTCCTATAAACACAAGCATTGTTACTTAACACTGCACAGCACTTAGATACATTGATATTATACTTTGTGGAAATGCCTACAAAAAAAATCAATTGTATGTCTGTATCACAATTTTCAGAAATGCATGCTTCCTTTGATTTTTGTATTTGTTTGCTCTCCTCTAGATCTTGTACACCGGAATTGTTATTTATGCGCCAGCTCTGGCACTAAATCAAGGTAAAGTAACTATAAAGTAATCATTTTATGTTAAAATTATTTGTGTAGTTCATTTTCGATTTTTTTCTTTCATTTTTGCAATATGTAGAACTACTAGGATTTTAAAGCAGGTAGAGATATACGCCACATTAGGGTCAAATATGTAGTTTTTCAAGACTTACATTGACTTTACTGGGAGTTCTGTTTGAGTGAAGACTTCCAATAGTCTCTAGTTAATGAGAGATTGTGGAAGAGACTAAAGACCCAGTGACAAATTCTGCTGTCAGTTTTACTACTTGTTTTCGACCCCCTGAGGCTGTGATTACTTGAGGCTACTCAGGCAAGTTAAGAAAACTGGCTAAAGTTGTAAAGTCAATGTACATGTGTGAAGCAAGTTTAAAGCCCCATGTGACTGCTATGAGAAGCAATAATTTTTGGGGGGTGATATCCTTTACTGGAACAACGACATAGTTGGAATCAAGTTAGACAAGCTTTCAAATGCAAGACATTCTTCATCAGTTCAGTGTTCTCGTACAGAATCAGGACTGGGCCATTTTCTTTCATGCAGTTAATTTATTTCTCAAAAATGCAGTTTGAGATGGTTTCAGGTGTCCCATGAACTTGGGAGGCATTCTACAAATAATTTTGGCCTGGGAAGGAAAAAAAAATGTTGAAGTCAGAATTGTGTTGCAACATTTTCCAAGTGAAATGTTTTGAAACCACACTAGGTTTTGAAATTGAGCTAAATTTTTAATTTTTTAAAAAGACCCCAAATTAAATATTTCCGGTTTTCATTTAGTGAGAAATACGTTCAATTTGAACTAAATGAAAATAACTTTTTTTTTCTTTTAGTCTTATTGGTTTGGTCTGAACCAAACAATACATTATATGCCCAGCTCTGTTCTGGAGCAGTCTGTAGTGATCTAGTGACTGGTGCCTTCTGAGTCTGGGGAGGCACAATTTGTGGGTGGGCGGGGGAGGCCAAAAGCCCCAAATCCACTCCTATACTTCTGTGCCATGGCTTAGTGTCCCCTCTTCAACACATTGCTGGCCTGTTCAGCAAAAAAAACTGCCCCGTCCTGAGCAGTGCAAGTCAGGGGCCAATCTCAGGAGGTGCACGTACCACCGCCGCCACCACCTACCTGTCACCTGTTTCTGTAACCCTAAACAAGAGGTTTAACAAGCTTTAAGTGATTCACATTGGCTTCAGACCTTTAGTTGATTCACCTGAACTTTCCCAAGTATCCCCAGGTAGATAAACTCTTTCAGGCAACCCACACAAATCCTTTTGCTCTGAAATCAGCAGGTCAACAGAGGTTAAGGCTATATTTTAGAACTTTACTGAACTGGAGCCTATAGCAATATAATCATTCTTAGTTACTGAGATTTAGAGAAGAGAGTTGTTGGATACAAACATATTTCCAATTGTGCAGAAGTATGGCCTGCCAGAATTATTTTCCTGAGTTCTTTTAGTATTCATTTCTATCAGAAGTGTGTGGTTTTAATATACAAATAATTGTGTTGCTATTTTTACTACTTTCTGCATAATTTAGTTCCAATCTATTTTTTTTCCAGGCAACCAGAGCAAGATACAAAATAGATTTTGATTTTAACTGATTGATTTTCGTCAAAACCATTATTCAGAGTTGTTTATTTTCCCTCTTTTTTCAGTCACAGGATTTGATCTGTGGGGTGCAGTGGTTGCCACTGGAGTGGTCTGTACATTCTATTGCACGCTGGTACGTTGGCTGTCTGTGTTAAAGAAACCCAACTCTCTTCAGTACTCACTCAAAATATGCAACATTGTTCCCCTAAAAATATCATACAAATACGAAGCTTAAGCTTTAATGAAGGCAAAGTGCCTCCAAAGCATGTACAGAAAACACCTTCTCTATGTGGGTATTTTCACTTCCACATGCAAAGGGCCATGTGATCCATCCATCCCTACTGCAGCATTGTTTGCTTTCCTAAGTAGAGACTGGGCAGGTTGGGGACAGGAGAAGGTGCTGCTTAGGAAGATAAACATATCATCCTGCTCTCATCCTTGCAGAGTTTATAAAAATATATTTCCCCAGAGAAATTTCCAGTGGGATTTTCCACAAGCGGGGTTATTCTGACACACATATCTGAATGATCTAAGTCTGTCTTCACTGAAGCAACAACTTCCTTGAACAATGTGGTAGAAATTCATTCTGTATTTTGCCCAGTATTTCTTTTCTTAGGGTTATATTGTGCCACTGAATTTTAAGCAGAACTCATTGAAATCAGTGAAAAGTGCTTCTTAAAATTAGATGGTGTATGTAAATGTATAAATGGTTCCTGTATTTTAAGTAGTACTTCTATAGAAGTCAGTAGGTTGGAGCATAAGAAACATTCGTAGGTATTATCCATTGTTGCTTTGATTCAAGGAGAGTTGCCTTAGCTGGAAAATTAGTTTAGTTCATTAGAGACTGGTAATTACATTCAACTAAACTGAATATGGATTTAAAATAGAATCACCCTGGTTCCTACTGTACACCGTGTCTGTTATTCCCCTCACAGGGTGGTTTAAAGGCTGTTGTCTGGACAGATGTTTTCCAAGTTGGGATCATGGTAGCTGGGTTTTCATCTGTGATTATACGGTCTGTGGTGGTTCAAGGGGGAATCCAACGCATTCTAAATGATTCCTATGATGGAGGAAGATTAAACTTCTGGGAGTAAGTTTGCATTTGTTCAAGCTAATGACTAACACAAACCATTAAATAGTTGTAAAATGGTATTTGCATCTGCACTATGGAGACTGTTCAAGTAGGCTCACTTGCTTTTTTCAGTGCTACTTTTGGCCATGTAGACAGGTGTAAAGTGATTATTTTGGAATAAAGCCTCTATCAAGGATAAGTATGGTAATTGGATTTAATAAATGTGTTCCTTTCTAGGAAGGCCATCCAGTTTAATGTGATGTTCTAGTTTAAATGCATCCAGGCATTACTAAAACTCTGCAAGACCAGATCTTTTAATTTTGCTCAGCTTCGTTTTAAGGATATGTATCGCTTATACATGTTTCCAAATGTACTGTAAATATAGTTTGGAAATCAATAATTTACAGAAGCAAAATATTGCATTCTAAAAATGTTAAAACATTTTGACATTTTCATTTATTTTTTTCTGTCTGAAACTATTTTTGATGAATAATTTATTTGTGTAAATATGTCCCCCAGATCTAATTATAACGAGTAGTTAGTTTGATTGTTTTTTAAATCTATGTCCCATGGTAAAAATCACTTAATGAGAATTCATAATTTTTTTAAAATTTAAGACTATTCAAATTTCATCAGTGAATAATTTGCCTACAGATTTTTCATGAATTGAACTTTCCAAACTGCATTGGTGACTTACACTAGATATTTGGTCTTATTTCTGTTCCTGGACTGTTTTCATTTTAATTAGCTGTTTGCCCTGGGGAAAAAATATCTTACCACATTTTTTTAAAGTAATTATTTTAGTGTTTAAAAAAAAAGAGAATTGTGGCCCAAAGTCTTTGAATTAATATTATGTGATTTATATTGGAAAATTATGATCTGAGTCAAATATACGTTATGATTAAAATACAAAGTGATTTAGAATAACCTACTTACAGTTTATGCTACAGTACTTAGTAGCCATGCTTCACCATACTTAACACCTGGAGCTAAATCAATAAAATGTCATAGGAGAGTTTATTTCAATAGAGGTTGGTCGAGGGAAAAAAAAACGTATTAAAGTGTTGATTTTCCTCTCATCCATCTTGGCTTAAATCAAGGTAATCACTCAATGGTGTTACATTAATTAAAATGGTGTAGCTGACGGAATAATCAAGCATCTTAACATTTTATGAACAAAATAGGTTTTTTTTGCCAGTAGTCCTAGCTCTGGTATACATGCCACCTTACCTATGATTGTATTTTACAATCAAAGTATATCACAGGGCTATCCAACTGGTGACCCATGCGACACATGGCCTGTAAGAGGTTAATTTGTGGTCCTTGGGCTCTCAACAGGCCACCACTCTCCTCTGTTGCTCCAGCAGCAGCAGCAGCAGCAGGAGGGGTCTCTGGGCTTCCCCTCATCCCATTCAGCTTCCACTTCCTGCCCCCACCCTAGGGAGTGGGGTGGGATGGCACAGAGCAGTGCAGCCCATGGTGCTGGTGGAGCATGCAGATGGGGGAGCTGAGGATTGGGGCTAGGGTGCTCGTAAGGCACAGCATACAGCCCCTGCTGGTACAGCCTGAGCAGCATGCAGCCCCCAGTCACTTAGCTGTTGAATAGCCCTGATACACCATTTAAAATTTGCCTTCAGCCATTATTTAGACGTATGGGAGTTTTGCCATTGACTTAATAAGGAAGGGAAGAGTGTCATCCTATAATTTAAAATGTGCTTTTAATGTTTATTCTTATACCTAAAATTTGAGTACTAAATTGTTCCAAAGATGCAGGGATAAGAGTCTACATTTGACCAAGTATTTGAGAATAACTTTTCCACTAATCATTGAGCTGTTTTGGTAACAAATGGTTAAATATTTTCATATCCTGAGTCTGTTAGTTTTTCTCTCATTTAGTCTTTTTTCTCTCATTTAGCTTTAATCCCAATCCCTTGCAAAGACACACCTTTTGGACAATTATTATAGGTGGGACCTTCACCTGGACTGGAATATATGGGGTCAACCAAGCTCAAGTTCAGAGATACATTGCCTGCAAAACCAGATTCCAAGCAAAACTGTAAGCCCATATGCAGTAAATGAAATTGTTCAGTTTCAGATTTTAGCCAATAGCTATACTTCATCAGGAACTTTTTTGAAATGAAAGGTTTAAATCTATAGATAACTCATTTACAAAAGGTAATAAAAGCCTGAGCTTTTTGCTTTGTGATCCAGGTAAAAAATAAGCTGGAATGCTAAACACCAGTACTTAAATTGAGTGTAATTTGTGGTTACATTCAGTCTTGTTGTTTGCCTGTGTACTATCCTGGGATTGTTGCATATGAATAGCTACCTTATGTTTATTTGCAACCTAAAGACAAATCCTACAGCCTTAGTAATGCAATTTTTTGTCATACCAGCTCTTGGATTTGGTACTATATATGAAACTTAAGTTAGTTAATAGAAATTTTGCTTGAGTAAGGAGTAAAAGATTTATCCACAAAGGTAAGTATGAGCATGATAAAATGCTGAAATTGATTGTCCAATGAAAGGATTGCTCCAGAATCATATACTTTATTTTCAGGGTAATTAATAAGATGTAAGCCACTATAGAAGCTCATTGTAGATACTGGCAGAAAGCTCTATTTTCCTTAAATTTGCAATAGCAGATTCCCTGTCCCCCCTCCCCTCCAAATAAACCAAGTTTCTCTTTACCTCTAAATCTGAGCTCAGGATTCCAGGATAACTCATAAACTCTATCCATATAATTTATAGGAGAACAACAAAGCTGCAAATCATAATAAAATTGCCTAATCAGAGCAAAGGAGAGTATTTTGAAGGTTTTAGCTTTTGAAAAATGTGGACAAAATAACCAGAATGTTTTTAAAGCAGTGTGTTCAGATGCAAAACATTTTAGGTTACAGCAGTGAGAAAAAAATATTCTGTAGTCAGTTGCATTTATGCATTGAATGAGTTGTGGCATCATCAGTTAGATTTCAGATGCATCATTTTTTGGTCATGTTGCTTTTCTCAGGGTTCTAGCCAGTATAGAAAAGCATTCTATGTCTCAATGTTGATTGTTTAGTAATGTGTGGGAAATAGTTTCCAGCCCAAGTATTTTGTTTGGGCAATAGTTTCATACGTTGCATTTCAATTGTGTAGCATATTGACTCATCCAAGCAGCCCTTTCTTCAGAGCTAATGTTACTTTTTGGAATGCCCGTCCTCCTTCTCACAATGAAATACTTCACAGGCATCGTAGAGGTAGTTGTGACTAGAAGAGTCTCGAATGTGGCACCATTGGAGCCATGTGGCCAAGAACTTCAGATAGAGCTGCTCCAAGATACAGAGCTTCCATGTGGAAGCCCTCCACTCCCAAGAATCAATATAGTTTGTAGGACTGTATAGCCTGTCTACCTTAATAGCTTCAAGAAATCTAGAATCTCATGACTTTGTCCCTTGTATAACTTCCTTCTGCAAGAAAGGGCAGGCAGGTTCCAAGTCATCTAAACCATTATTTGACTTATCCATGCCTGAAAAACATCACTGTTCCACAAGGCACAGTTACTTTACAGCATAACCATTGTCTCTTCATAACATTTTAGGCACTGGCAGTGTACCATGACTGTGTAGTTTGTTTATCAAAGATTTTTAAAACATGTACAGCAAGAATCACTATTGACCTGTCCCTCTTGTCATTTGCACTAATGCAAAGTAAATATAAATAGCTACCATCAAATCAGAATAAATGCATTTTATACCCGCTTTGCACGGAAGTAAAGGTATTACAAAGTGTAAAGCAATAACCAATCTGGCTCAGAGTCTGAATTCTTACACAGATGTCAACCTGTGCCTTTTGGGAATAAATGAAATGACTCCCATGGTAAGGGATGTTTCTTTTTTGACTCATCGCACACTCATTCTAAAGAATTACAGGAGTCTCTAGCAGAAGAACCACACCTTCAGAAAATTGCAGGATACTCATTTACTTCCTCTTATTTTTCCCTCAATCCCTGCCTTCAAAGATCTCTTCAAGATGCCATGTTTTGATTACTGGAGTTCTAAATCCCCAGTTAAACAACGAAACCAACAAGCAGATAAACAGGTATTACATGGTTTCCTTAGAGACAATACCGATTTTGCATAAAGTATCTACCTAGTATTACACATTCAGAATGAATGGGAACACCGTCCTTTGTTAAATGCTACAATTATTTTTCTGTGATACTGATATAATCATGAGTGTCACCGTGCACTGGGAGGCCAAGAGGACAAAAATCAGACATTTATTTGCACTTGCTACCCAAACACCAACACATTTTAAAATAAGATTTGCCACTTGCAGCAGCTAATCTTTTGTGCAGGGAGGTATTTTCTGCCTGTAGTCACTCAGTTGCTAGAAACTTTATTTAATTTGTAGCTTTTGGACATGGCCTAAAATTTCATAGATTTCATAGACATTAGGGCTGGAAGGG